CCTCCTCCCCGGCGCAGAGACCAGCCACGGCAGCTGGACGCCTGCTCTGGCTCTCTCGGGGGGTGGAGAATGGCTGGAAATCCCTCTGAGCAGCCTGGCCTGCCCCAGTCCCGTGCTCCGGGGAGGACGGTCCATTCCCTGCTCCCCTGTGGTGTGGAGGCCCCGCAGCAGGCCGGGCCCCGTCGGGAGCGTGCTAGCCTCTGACTGGCCTCTCTCCCGCGTAGTTCCCTTGGGTCTTGCAGGACTACGTCTCCGAGACGCTGGACCTGAGCGACCCGGCCGTGTTCCGGGACCTCTCCAAGCCCATTGGGGTGGCCAACGAGAGACACGCCAAGGACGTGAAGGAGAAGTGAGTGGCTGCCCCTGGGGGGCTGCGCTTGGACTCGCACAGAGCAGCAGGCCAGGGGGCTGGGCTCGGAGGGTCCCAGCGGCTAGAGAATGTGCCCTGGACATAGGGGCCTGACCCCAGCACATGGGACAGTCGAGGCTTAGTCAGGCATTCTCTGAGTGACGGAGCTGGGATCCCAGAGGGGCCTTGGTAGGGGCTCCCCATGAGCTGTGTGGGGCGCAGAGGGCTCTGGTGGTGGGGTTAGCCCCTGGGGGGAGCAGACGTGGCTCTGAGAGCCCCCGAGGGCAGCCCGTGCCGAGAGGCCGTGCGTCAGGTTGTCTCGTGCTTTGGGACGGCCGAGAGGCGCTTGGGGAAGGGAGTTTGCCCTGCGCTCTTGCTCGGGGCTCAGGAGAGGCCCCGGGCCTCCAGAACTGTTGCTCCTGCCCTTCCCGGGTGCAGCCAGGCCGGGGAGGGGTGTGCTGGTGAGGCCAGGCTGGCTCCGCCCTCCCCGATGCAATCTGTCAGCCCCTCAGCCCGGCCGGGGCGAGTGCCGCACTGCCTCCCCGCTGGGATTCCCTCCCTCCCGCCCGCGGCTCATCCTCCGCTCCGGTCCGTGCCTAGGTACGAGAGCTTTGAGGACCCCACGGGCATGATCGACAAGTTCCACTACGGCACCCACTACTCCAACGCGGCGGGGGTGATGCACTACATGATCCGGACCGAGCCCTTCACCACCCTGCACATCCAGCTGCAGAGCGGCCGGTAAGACCCCTCCGGACTCACCCCCGAGAGCTCCGTTCCCGTGCCTCGCTCTTAAACCGTCCCGGCGCCCAGGGAGCTCCCCTCCTTCCTGTCTCGGCAAGGCCCTGGGGAGCTGGAGCTTAGGAGGGAAGGGGCTTTATTCCTCGCTCTGCTCTTGGGCAAACCCGTCCCCGCCCTGTGCCTCGGTTTCCCCAACTGTACAGTGGGCGCAGTACCGCCGTGACGTGCTGGCGAAAGCATTAGACCAGTGGTCCCCAACCTTCAGTGGCTGCCGGGCGCCATGGGGCAGGGCCGCTCACGTGCCGGGCATCTGGGGGCAGGGTCGCTCACGCGCTGCACTTCCGGGGTTGGGGCCACGCATGTGCCACGCGCTGGGGGTAGAGGCCGCCCTCACGCCCTGAGCCCAGGGCTGGCACTACACATTGGGGACCACTGCATTAGACGATATTTATCCCTCATTGCAAAATGTATCCCAGGGCCAGTTCTAGGCCTGGCCTCAGACGAAGCCGGGCGAGGGTGCGGCCGGCCTGTGGCCCACTGGGGCTGGGTGATCGTGGGCGAGGGGGGTTATCCGGCACGAAGAAAGCAAGAGGCCTAGAGATGCAGCCGTGTGGCAAAAGGGAACCCAGGAGCCGCTGGACCGGAGGAAACGCGGCGTGTTCTTGGGGCGGGGCGGGACCGTGGGGCCCATTGCCATCTCAGGGCTACGGAGCTGCAGGAAGGGACTCGCTGGAGTCTCCCGGTGCTCCGTGGCGGCGCTGAAGCTCCAGTTCTCCGGCGTGCCAGTCCAGAGCCGTCGCCACGTGGCTGAACCTCGCTCTCTTGCCGCAGGTTTGACTGCTCGGACCGCCAGTTTCACTCGGTGCCCGCGGCGTGGCAGGCGCGCATGGAGAACCCGGTGGACGTGAAGGAGCTGATCCCCGAGTTCTTCTACTTCACGGACTTCTTGGAGAACCAGAACGGTAAAGGGAGTTCCCGGAGCGGCCTGGGTCTTGAGCCAGGGGAGAGGCCCCCCTTCTGTGACTCCACTTCAGCTGATCTCTCTGGGGCGGAGAGGTGACTCGCAGGCAGATTGTCCCCACCCCGGCCTGGTCTCTAGGCCCCTGGCATGCCACTGTGCCCTCTCACAGTCTCGCACAGTGTTGTGCCTGAGCCGGCGGGGGCTCCATGCCCCAGAGCTCTGTGCTCTTCCCTACTGAGCTCTACGCAGAGCAGGGATGTAGGATGCACTCCCAGGAGGCCTGCCCGGAGCTGGAGGCTGGTGTGTGATCTATGGGGGCCCACCCCTCTGGCAGGCAGCCAGCTGAGCCACCCTGCCCTGAAGCATCCAGTGCTGTTGGCCCCAGGGTTGGGAGGCTGTTGATCTATTCTAACCAGACCCAGGTCATGGGATGTGGTGGAGCGGGTCATGAGCCACCCGGGCCATGGGATGTGGTGGAGCGCGTCGTGAGCCACCCAGGCCGTGGGAGGTGACAGAGCGGGTCTTGAGCCGCCCGGGTTGTGAGCCGCCCGTGCCGTGGGAGGTGGCGGAGCGGGTCGTGAGCCGCCCGGGCCGTGGGACGT